TATTTCACCAGAAGATGCATGGAATGAAACTAGCATTGAATTAGCACATTGCGCAGAATCTCATTGCCGAGGTTTCTTAGTAATGAGATTCGCTGAAAATGTTAGAGGATTAACATCCGTATCCAAACAGCTTCACGAGGTTTTGATGCAACTTTGTGAATTGTACTCGATATATTGGGTACTACAACGGCTTGGAGATTTTCTTCGTGTTAGTACTATATTTAAAACTAAAATTATCGTAATTTCGACCGAATCATCACTTCATTAATACGGTTACGTCATATTTTACAATTACAGTTTTCATGTTTGAATAATGAAGATGTTCCGGCGCTTCAAGCACGCTTCGAAGAGATGCTCGCTGCAATCCGTCCAAATGCTGTCGGTATCGTCGATGGATTTGATATTCGTGACGAGATCCTCGCATCCGCGCTTGGCGCATATGACGGCAATGTATATCAGCGTCTCTTTGACGAGGCAATGAAGAGTCCTTTAAATCAGGAGAGTGTTAACCAATCTTTTCATAAATACCTCAAACCTTTCCTTAAAAGTAATTTATAGTCTTATTATGTTTATCATAAATAGTCAGCCAAGGTTATCATAGTTATTATCATAGTTAAAATCATTAAAAATTTTAATAAGCTTGCATGGGAAAGTTTGCTATAACATTACTAAGATGCTAAAATTAATTCGTAATTTTCAATGCAAATCAGTAATCATTATAATTGCAAATGCTACAGTAAATTTTCTGAAGTGAATTATTTCAGAGTCTTCCGTTTTCATTTCAGTAATTATATTTAGTTGTAACGTTAAAAATATTATGATTTAAGAAATTATTTAGGAATATTTTTCTTACAATATAAATCGAAATAAATTAATCTTTTCACATCTCACATAATCAATAATTATTAAAACATATAGAAATTCTTTTCAGTTCCTACATTGATAAATAGCTGCAAATTAATCAATTGTTACAAGATTTATTTTTGCTGGAATGTCACATTTAGACTGAACATTTATATCATTAATAAGATCGTAAAAATAAGATCAGATATATTTTAGCAATCCATTTTATCAAACATAAAAAAAATGCAAGAAAAAAGTTCACATATCAATTCTGTAGTAAGAAAACTGGAGCTTTAAGTATGACAAAGATATTCCACGTTCACTTTTTTATCATAATACTAATGTCATACAATGTATTATTGTGTATGATATTGAGGTATGATGTGAAGGTATGTATACAGGGAGAGGGGATGTTCTGTGTATGTCATAATTGTATGTCAATACTTCAGATGTGAATTTAGAATAAAGCAAGTAAAGAATATATAAGTATAAATTTTTGAGTTGTCATATACACGCACACTTTAAATATTTCCTTTGATTTATTACAACTTAAAAAAATGAAGCTTGAACTTATTTTCATATGAAACTTATTTTATATTCACTCTCTAAAGTATTGTTATATAATTAAGAACAATCCTGTATACGTCGGTGTTCTATAATCTATATTAAAACGTCTTTTAAAGGACATTTTTATATGACGCAATTTAACGAAAACGTTATGAAATTGACGGAAGTATTTATCTATTATACATTTATCAGTATCTGTATTAATATTATGCGATTGTTTTATGTATTACGTATAGAGCATTTTCTGTATTCATGAACTGATCTTTAAAAAAATGATTGATATTTTTGATAATAATATTTTATAAAATATAAATATTGTACACATGTGAAATAAGGGCACACGCAAAGTATTGTTTTACAAATAAAATAATATTAATAAAAAATGTAATTTTTACAATTAGATGTTCTAGTATGTATTTACAGATTTATCTTCGAGGCAATTTAATGTAAGATATGAATACATACTCTATTTTGATACACAAATAAAGTGCAAATAATCTTTCTTCGTTATTTCGGTGTATGGTTTTACGAATCCCTAAACTCCACAATCGTATGAAATGGAAAAGATGTTCATCACATCTCAAAGAAGTTTCCAATGCGTTTCCTTAGACGATATAATATTTATTTACAGAATAGGAGCGACGACATACATTATTGTTTGTTATACTAATATAGTGCAATTATTAATTTCCGTTAATTAAGAATAACGTAATAATTACTTTTATGTCCGCAACAACGATAATACGGATATTTTAACCTTTTGCATTCGGTAATCGACATTTGGCTCTTCATCATTGCGATTTTATATATTTGTGTGTGTGTGTGTGTGTGTGTGTGTGTGTGTGTGCGTGCGCGCGCGCGCGCGTGTGTGTGTGTGTGTGGCAGGAAGTCGATTTTAAATTTTAGAAGGATAATATATAGGAGAATGATATATAAAACACTTCAATGAGAAAAACCAAAACAAATTCGTTTTATCGCAGTTGCGCGAGCGAGTATAATATATATCTATATATTTATATATATATGTATATGTGTATGTATATATATATATATATATATAAATAAAAGTACATATACATGTATATACGTATTTTGTGGGTTCGTGCATAGACGGAGATATATACACATATATGTAATATAATTAGGGAATAATAGGAAAAGGAGTAGGAGCAGGAGAGAAGGGAAGGAGCGATGGGATGACAGTACTTACACTTAAAAAATAACATTGTTAATATTATCGTTATTATTAAATATTAATCCACTTTTAAAATTATTTTCATTCGTCCACCTGGCCTATGGGCTTTGCCTATTAGTATTAGATAGACTTCTCATTGCTATAGTGTTCTTACGGAATTACGTCTTCTTATAAAATATGATTTCATTACAATTATTTTTCTCCCCCTCTTCGCTTAATTTCTCTCAGATATTAACTGGCCGTGTGGTGAAGCATAAGCTAGCAAAAGCTAAGGCAAGCGACACCACAAGGTCAATTAGTTACTATCTAACGAACAATTTCATCTATATATCATGTACGATTATTAAAGATTACGAGCCCTCAATTTCTAGGTCTTTCCTCGTTTACTTCACACGAGATAAGGATTTTTGAGAGATTTAAAAAATGACAGAAAAACAGGAGCATTATACGAATAGATAAAAGTATTTCATAACACATGCTGTGTTTTTGGAAAGTTATACATTGATTAAAGAATCGTGTGAAGTATTGGAGGAATTTAATCAATCCACATTAAAAAAGATGAAAATTAAAATGGTAATAATATAATGATGAAATAGCGACTTAATGAGTTATAAAAAAGAGAATAGGGATACTTCTTTGATCATAACCAGCGTTATATCTAACCATCGTTACTATCGTTAACTTCTTATCATTAATATTCTTATTAGTTGATTTTCTACGTATACTATTCCAAATTTAGATATATTAAAAAAAGATTCTGTGAAAGAGAATTCATTAAATTCAATAAAATTTGTTCGAAAACGCAAATAAATTTTGAGGCTTCGCGTTTACGTACTAATAATCTTCAATCACACAATCAAAATACAAGTAAATAAAATTGTGTCATGATATATCGAAGAGAAATTGTCAAAGCAACACTGCATGATTAATAAAGATACATTAAAGCAACCAATTTGTCGTGGATGAGAGGGAGCTATATTAGTCTTGATAATAAAATAAATAAGGCGTTTAGTAGACTCTATACATTTCATAATAATAATAATAATAATAATCATGATCAGCATATTCGGACGTAAAAAGCACGAATCAGTTCAAGAGATAGAAACGGAAAGGTGAAAACTTGCAGGATGATGAGGTGAAGAGTGTCGTGAGGAGGCAAACAACGTGATTAAGGCGGATTCGTGAGTTTCGTACCAAATCGCTGTTCCTTACGTAGTACATATGGCAGTATCGGCATGATATATTTTTAATTACTCCAAGTCCGATTTTCTGCGACGGATCGGATTCTGCGACAAGACGACGCTCACGTACTGTCGGGAAGGAAAAAAGAGATTCAAGGATCGGTGCAAGATTGTTAAAAAATTATGGAAAATAAACGAGGACGACAGACAAAACGGCCAAGGAAACACCACGTGAAGTGGAAGAAAAAACGTTAATAAATAGGTGGACTTCGCGATACGGATCGATCGCGTGACGAATGTCGCCATGGGAAATAATTCTGATACGAACGAATATATACGCATTTGTATCGCTTTTAGCGTGTTCCCTTTCGCTTTCTAATACAGCATTATGGCATCATTTCTGTCGTGCTAAGGCGTGCGCGTTATACTCATTCCGCTCTTGGGGTAAAGAGGAACATTTTTTTCTCTCTTTTTTCATATCGTGGGTACTTCTGTCTGTCAAACGCAGCATCCATCTTTCATTATGGCAACGTGACTTTTTATTAGAATCTTTAAGACAAAATAGACCTCAGACAGATATATCAAAGATTTTTTATTAGCATCAGAGTCGATTCGGATAATAAACATGGGATGTTTTATCTCATAGGTGGAAGGAGGGTGTGACAACCTATTGCCGTGCAAAATATCAATCAGTAAACTACTTCTATTCGTTTGATGCATCTGAGCATCAAAGAAATTAAAAATATTCAATCTCTACAAATGGATTCCTTTATGTTTTAAGAACTGCATTTTTGCAGAAAATAAAGTATAGTCTGGAAGATGGAAACGTCGATCGCGGTATTGGTAATACACACGCATAGCTGCCATTTCGCCTTTCAAAAAGATATGGCACGCTAACTGAAGATTTACTAATTTATTTTTATTTGCTAATTGTAAACTGGTTATTCGTACAGCAAGAATTCCAATACAACAGCTAAATGCTTGGCGAATACGTGAAACGTGAGATTCACAATTATTAGGAATTTCAATATTTATACAGAAATTCTTGATATATTAAACATGATTTACATTACATGAAGCAGTTGTCAAAGCAATAAAATGATTCATACTACAGCAAATTTATATACGTTTTCTATCATCATTGCGTCTTATCTAAAAAATGTGAGATTCTTCAATGATCTGAGATGTAACGAAACAAAGAGAGAAGTTGCGCAGAGAAATACGTATAAAATCTTATATATCTTTCAGAAATAATAGCTATTTTTTTTATAAAGATATGTACAATACCTGCGACCGATCGACCAAATAAATTCTAAATCATTTTATACAGCACTTACATAATTTCTAGAAATGCAACATTAAACTTTTTGTCTTCCTCGGAATACGTGATGTAGGTCGATGCGGTCGCGCTACAATTAATGCTTAACACATATTCTTAATATAGGCGCCCTTTTTATCCTCTCTGCAATCGATCAATATGGTCAACGAGTCCCACCGTTTTCACCTCTATCGGCACATGAACACGCAATAAAAGGACCTAAATCTTTGTCGAACTCAGTATTAAACGTTCATATCAAAGAAATAAATATTGTAAATTAAAAAAAAAACAGAATAGCAGCGACGCGCGAACGAGGTTGCAGTTTAACTCCTCGCTGCTCTTGCTGTCGGAGAGAAATCACGACGCCGCAACGATCCTTCTTCCCTTCCCTCCTTCCACCGGGAGACAGAATGATTAACGACATAGCAGCGGCGTTTATCGCCCACGAATTTTCACGCTCTCAGTCCTGTACATGTATACATACGTATACATACACGTGCGCGCGCGCGTATATATATACAATATATATAATATACACACGCGCTCTTTAAATACGCTTGTAAATGCATCTTGAAATTGGTGCAACCTCGCCGACGATGTCTCGACGGGATATACCTATATGAGCCATAGTCTCGTCGTTCATTGTCCGTCGCTTCAGTCACTAGCCAGGATGATTACACTCCGCAGAGGATCTTTTCAAAGATCAGCGAATGCGGTTAAAGTCAGGACAACGAAAGGGAAGGTATATATAGAAATGTGAAGGGCGAAGTGACTGGAGCGTCAAGCTGGAAAAGTTCAATGTACGGTGAACGGTCTATCGGCCGAAAACCGCAAATTCGTCTTGCCTCAAACTCTCTTACTCGCGTACATCTTATTTTGAACACGATGAAATACAGCGCGTAAGAAAATACAGTTTCCTAGAGTCAAGAGAAATTGTAATCGAGAATCGGCCGACATTCTGAGTGACGTTCCTCGGGTAAAACTTTGCGTTTTGGGAGAGTCTATAATGAGCGCGTGCCATGCAGTTTGCCGTAATAATTGTTTCACCATCGATCAGCGGGATTCCAAAAGCGGGCGTTGATCGTCGGTGGGTTTTTACTCGGCTTGGCATCGTGAGATCGCGAGAGGAATCGGCGAAGTCGCCATCGCACCGCCATCGCCTCAAGCGTAGAACTCTCGATTGTGATGAGGCGCGCCCGGCTTGGGGAAGGCCTGCGCCGCAGGTGATCTTCTTGGCTCGTCCAGGGCATACGAGCCCTCGTCCTTCTTGCGCATCCGGTACACGATGAACATGACCACCAATATCGCGCAGAGGAGGCCTACTACCGCGCCGCCGATCACAGCTGGAAACACGATCGAGATATCTTAGATCTATTTTCGTATAACAAAAAAAAGCTTTTCTTGCAAAGGATATAGCTTTCGATCGATACGTGAGTTAATAATCATCACGCAGTCTTTATAAAATCACAGATCTAACATGATCGATACTATATTTAAACAAAGAGACACAATCTGACTATTTCGATCTTCGATACACTTTCGAGTCCGATGGAAAGCTTCGTCATTTTTACACTCACCGGCTAGTACGCCTGGCTGCGCAAAGAACGAGCTGGCACGGTCCCCAGGTTTCGGATTCATGATGTAGACCTCGTGGATATCGTCGGTGCTGCGATCGTCATCCGTGCCTGAGGGCTCGCCTATGTTGACCTCGTTGCTGGGTCGGTTCACGGTTTCAATGGTCGTCTAGAAATTGGATACGGCTCGATCACTTTAATCTGTTTAATTCGCGACCCCATGCGAGGGAAGAAGCGCGCGTGTCATTGAACAAAAATGTAAGTAATCCGTTCAAAGCGGGAAGTGTCGCGTCAGCACTCTAATCGGGCAAATTAGATTGCACACGCCTGTGCAAGAAGTATTAAGCGCAATATCGTAAAGTGTCGCGAAAATATATAATATACTGGTGCAATTTAAGGAATAAAATGTAATTTCCTTTTTCCATTATAATTTCATTTTAAGCCTTGCTCTTTTCTCATGGCACGTGCAGAATATATTCGTGAATAAAAAACGAAAATAGAAAATCGAAATTTGTTAAACTGTTGGAATGTATGTAGACAGAAATTCGCTCTAGATACGCGAAGCTAAATTGAAGATTCAAAATTTTGTAAAATTATTATAATTCCAGCAACATCTCACGCTTACATGTTGTTTAGTTTTGACATTTGTCTCGTCGACGACGTATGGAGGTCTCGCTTCGGTCGGCTTGCTGGGGACTTCTAATCCGTTATTACCAGTGAACTCTGTAACGCAACAAAGTTACGATGAATACATTAAAATTGATATGTTCTACAGATCCGAACGCAGATCTGCGAGGTATCTTTTTCGACGTTTTAACTAAGCGCATTCGTGAAAGCTGAAAATTAAATTTCCAATCACCGCTGATTGGAGATGAGAAACGATCTATACCGGCGATGAATGCGTGCCGATATCGTCCATTTTTCAATTTTTAGAAAAATTCTTTCGCGGGCGCCGCTGCCTTTATGACATCCATGATATTTTTGTTTTTAGTTCTGCAATTGGCAGAATATATTAATATTTTTTATAACCGAATATTGTATAAAAAATCCGCACGAAATATAAATACGTCACGATAAAATTATTAATGAGAAACAGATCGGTCGGAAAAACATATTGTATATAAAAATTGTATGTAGCATTTAATCTTTCCTTCGTTGAGAGGTGAAAGAGATTCATTGATCAACTGAGATCGTTTGATTAAAATTTATCCAGAGAGATATATATATACAATATATATCGGATGTCATACCGTGGTCGTCTTCCCCGTCCTCGTCGTCAGGGCCAAGGCCGCTACCCGAAGCTTCGAGGTCGTCGCGATTGTCGCTGCCACCTCGGCCGGAACCCTCTAAGGCGTCCTGATCATCCAAGTATAGGTCATCCGGGAAAGTGTTGTAAGTCGAGCTCGCCGACGTCCTCTGTTTGCTGTCGGTGGTCTGCTCCTTCTGAAAATCAAAGAAGACACAGCAATGTAATTTAATCAATACATAGTATACGTCACAATCTCACAGCAGAATCGTCTGGCGAGACATATTCTGCTTCAGGTCATTGACACGTCTCGCGCTTAGTGAAGCCGCATCATGAAGCGATGAAGCTGCGCGACACTCGAGCTAACGTAATTAAAGGCACGCGCATATGTAAACGTGTCCTCCTCGACGCGGCGAGATCTCTGTAACATGAAAGGGCTTCGCGGGTCCCGCGGTTCGTTAAATTTTAATTTAACTCAGTTGCAAGAGATAGCAGCGATCTCTTCTCGCTTCCATCTCTCGCGATAGCATGCCATAAGCGGAGCGCGGGATCTAGCACCGCGTCGAGCATCACCATGCAAATGCGCGAAATTTCGGGTTCAACGGAAGTCAAGCAAGACGAGTCAAAGCGAAAGAGGGAGAGAGAGAGAGAGAAGCTAAATTCCGTCAGAGAGAATGATGGAAAGGATGAAGACGCGGAGGGCTTCGCGATGACGGGGTTCGTGAAGGATCAGCGTGGGTGGCGCGGGTTAACGCCGCTCCATTCTATTTCTGGAACGTCTCATCTCCTTCCAGTTGCCTAGCACCAAAATAGAAGGATGCACTTCTTGGTGTTTCCCTCGCTTCGCATCTGATGTTTCGTGTCTCTCATCGCGCGTGTTTTTCACGTTTAATACGCACAGTAACGGGCCGCGAAAGACTCAACCCGCGATTCGCCCGTTTTATATAATTTCGCGCACCATGAGAGATACTTCTTCAAGGGCGCACGATAAAATTGTATTGCGCCGTTAAATTGAGTAAATGAACGACCGGCCGTCCGTAGTTTTCCTGCGTGTAACAAAGAGTGGCCACGATGAGCGGATGATTGAGGAAACGGTGAAATAGCCCACGCTTCCGGTTACGTGATGTCCGCGGAATGCGAAGTAACGCGCTGCGAGAAACATCAAGCATTAAACAAGCGGAATTGCCAATATTCCCATCTATGCGATATTGTCGTCGTAAGAAAATTTCATTTTCTGAGAACGATCGTGAGAGAGAGAGAGAGGGGGGGGGGGGAGTAAGATCATCCACGATAGTAAGTCGATTACAAACAGAATGCACTGCAAATCCAAGTGTATAAAGTGTCTGCAGCAAGGCATGTTGCCTAATAAGCTCTACGACATTATCTAAGCTTGAGTTGTAAATCGTAAGAAAATTATGGTCAATTATTCTTCTCACGTCGATCGTGATTGGTCAATTTTTACGGCTTAAGACTTTAAAGAGCTTAGACAATGGCTTACTGTAGAGAGTCTATTATTTTTAGAAAAGTATAATCACCCACTTACATTAATTTTGTAGTCCATTGTTTACACACTTGAATTCGCAGTGTATCTCACAATGATATCGATAAAAATAACAGTGAGAAGAGTTATAAAGATAACGAAAAATATTTTGTCTCGTCGACCTTCGTCGCGTCAATACTCTCGCGATTGAATGGCGCTATTAACGAGCGCGTCGCGATCGATAGCACGAAATTCGCTCTCGTATCTTGCTCTCCGCGCTCTCGTCTGCCGGGACGGGCGGCGCGGCGCGGCGCGGGCGATTTCCTCCCTTTCGCTTTTCGCCCTGAAATGAAAGACAATGAGTGCCCGATGACCATGGAAAACGCACGTCCAGCACGTCAAATGTGTCGCAGTTTCGTTTCCGTTTCGTTTATACGCGCGTTTATCGTGCATTGGCGTATGCAATACGACGAGATTTGAATTAGTTGAAACAGAGAAAATATCGAATTACGTGACGTTAAACTGTCTGACATCTGACAAATCGCTGCTGTCAAAGAAATCAGTCAAAAGCGTTACACCTGAATGATGGCTATCGGCGGTGTGGATTGGATCTTTTGCCTGTAATAACTTTTCAAATTTTATATATTTAGTCTTCATGCTGTCGACCTAAGCGTCGATTCGACTTTTATTCTTCAGTCCCATCATGTATCTCGAACTTCTCTCCAACAAATCTACTCTCAATGTATAGTTCGTCATTCATTTTATTATACTATGTACTTGTTTTTTTATACAAAATTTGTTTGTATTTGAAAATATTATATTCATTATTTGAAAAAAAAAAAAAAAAAAAGTGTTCATCTTATAATTATCGATCGTTGTTTATCATTCAAAGAGTGCAGGAGAATTGGAAAAGGTACAAAACGTAGGGGTATGACGATAATTGAATAAAAAATCTTCTACGCATCATTTTTCAAGATGGACCCAGTCGAGAATGAACAATTACGAATAAACATGGACGAACGGAACATTCTCTTGATGTCTCGAAAAAAAGATAGAACGTATGTCACATACGATGTCAATTCAGACTCGTTAGCACTCGCAACGTTATCCACTCTCATCAACACACATTCGTCTATTCAAATTCGTTCACGCTTGGTCTGGACCCACCCTTAGAGGATCGACATCGATCAATCGCCCCAGGTAAACGCGTCACGGAACATATAACGAATGGAGAACGCAAGAACAACGAGTTTTCATCGTGAGAAATAATTAGTTACCCACAACAATGGGGACGTGGGTGTCAAGAGAGAATCCTCGACGAAGAGCAGGAAAGGACCTGGACGCTGGAGTGCGTGCAGCCAGCCGCGCCGATGACAGCCGAGTGCGTCGCCCGGTGCAGCCAACGAAGAATCGATACGGGCGAACGCGGCACAGCGTCGACCCGGTCGAACCAAGGGCCGAGACCTTACAGGCCCTATGGAGGGCAGGAACCCGCCCAAGATAACGCAACGTTCTCACCGTTCACCGACCTTATCGCGTGTTCTTTTCTTTTTCTCACCCCTCGGTCAAGCCACCCTGGGTCTCTCTTCTCGTGTCGTTCTCCTGGACGCGGTGTTTGCGCGGGGATTGCGCGGGCGCGCGATGCTATCGACCTCCATCCGTATCGCGTCTCGCTTTCCATCGCGGTTCTTCTCGTCATCGAGGCGATACATCTCGCGAATTCGCGTCCGCCCCGAGTGACGATCTCCCTCGTTCATCCGCCGTACGGGAGAAAATCCGCTCTCGATCGCGACGACAAAGGGGTGCGTTCGATTTTTCCACTGCCGAAATTTCTCGCACACAAACGACGGAGGGGAACCATCGCGAACGAGCCTGTCGATATCTCTGTACTTACCACCTCAGCGATTTGCTCGGGAGAATTTGACGGATGCGCTCGGGATCTCTGACGGTGGAGAACGAGAAAATTCGGAGGGTGATGTGCAGCGGTTTTAGACCAGGTGATGACTGCACCGACCTAGTACGAGTCCGACTCGGTAGACGGCACTGTCGAGATCCTAGCAACTGTTATACATATATAGATGTATATGTATATACATCTATATACATTTATACATACGTACATACATGCAGGACGTTTTTAAAGTTTGCGCATAAGACATCCGAAAACCTTCCCTTTGATAAATTCAAGCTTAATTGTCCCCCGGAGAGAAGATTTAGGGTTCTGCTTATCACGTTTTGCATTTCTTATACAATTTCATCTTCTACATTTATTCCAATATAGCTCTAACATACCTTGCCTCATGTTTTATTTTATATCTGTGACTATTTTACATTCTGCTGAACGCATCCTATCCGTTTTGTTACGAATCACATTTCTTCTCGGTCAGGCACTCGCTCAGAAAGAATTTCTAATAAAACAAAAAATTCTTGACGTACTTAATCTCGCAACCTTATGCAGTATAAAAATAAAACAATATTAAGATTAAATCAATAATTCTTATTCCCCTCTCTCGAATTAAATAAAAATAACATCGATTTATTATTTAAGAAAAGAGCAATACATATATACATTTAAGTTTATATATATAGTATTCCTGATTCATAATAAATCTTTATCCCCGATGTTATAACGTATTATATCGACGCCATAGTATTTAGAGCGAAATCAATGGATCATTTTATTCTAAATTCAGTAATTTTTCATTTAAGAGTAAAATATTCCACTGTTAACAGTCAATATTACTGTTCTTCTTCTGAACGATTCCATTTTACGATAAATCGAAAAGTAATATTGAATCCGAAAATCTTTTCTATGGATGCATCGTAGCAGCAATCTCGTCGATGCCTTTATAAGAGTTTATACCTTCGAGCATGTACCTACTTTGTCTTCCATACACAATACATATGTACATCACGCCTACCTATCTTGTTATTAATAAATCTTATACGTACACAATAAAATATTATTACACCTAATCGTACACGAAACGACGAACTTTATTGTAATCATCAAGGCACCAGAAGGAAACTTGGAAACAAAAGATTAGGATGAACGAACGTTGTACTTTCGATGTACAACATACGCGCGGGCATGCGCACGATAAATCCGTCAAAAGCTCCGCGAGCGAGCTCCGAATGTATTCAATAAGTCATACGGTAAGGCGATTCGCGAACGGTGCGGGATATTGAAAATCTGCTCTATCCGTTCGGGGTAGAACTTGTCGTCGCTCGCGTACACCCTCCTCCCCACACATCGTCGCCTTATTTGAATGGGACGGGATTTTTCATATTGGATTCAAATCCGAGGGACTTAACTCGCGGGCCTGGGCTGCCGCAATGCGCGCGTTCCACGTTCCGCCGTGTGGGTTCTTCGTTCCTTTCGCTCTCCGCCACCCAGTTTACCCATCGAGAAAAACGATGGTCAACGCTCGAGAAAATGGAAAAATCGATCGCGCGGGAGGTGCAGGCGGAGGCCTATACCTTTTCACGACGCGCGCACGTCGGCACACGCTAGCGCGTGTCGTTACAATATATGTAACACAATGAGGTAAGAGAAACCGGAAAGACCATACGCGATAAACAAGCGACGAAATTCGGATTCGGTGTCTATATATATAGCCTACAGCCCGCCAATTCAAACAGCCCATTCGCGTCGGGATAACTGCGCGATTGAATTGATATGCGGGCTTTAGCTTCCGCTCGGATTCATCTCGCGAA